CAATGTCATAACACAATATGTGTACTACTGTTTCATGAGAAACTATTTGTTCTGTAAGCCTTCACCTGAAGTACAATAAAAAAAAAAAAAAAATCAAAAAAAAAAAAATAATTAATTCACTTGCACAAGGTACAGGCCGTTTCTGTCTCTGCTCCTAGGAAGCCCAACCTAAACCAAGAGCTATGGAAGAGCAAGTCCTGCCAGAGAGAGTGGAAACAAGCACTTGGGGGTCTATGGTGAGCTCTTCCCTCATTAGCTAACATTACATTTCATTTAGCTGGAGATATGGAGGGCTCGGATTCCTAAACCCGAGATGACAAATGCTGGCATGTGTACTAGTTTCTACTCTTGCCTCCCTCATCCATGACAGACATCACTAATCAATCACGGCCCCTGTTGACTCTGAGCATGGAGGCCAGCCTGGAATATTTTCAGCCCACCATCTGAGATGGTTATGGTCATCTGTGCCTCAAAGAGTTGTACCTTTGCCTTGCAAAGGTCTATTTGGGGTTCTTGTTGAGAATGATCCCACTTTAGCAAAACATTTAGCCAGAAAAAACCATGATTTATATTTAGAACCATGAGCATCTTTCTTGGGCAAGATTTTGCACTTCTATCACCAAGACCTAGATGTTCAATGCCAGAATCCATTGAGCACAGAGAATAATGCTGATTTACTCCTTCCTGACACGGATGAATCTTGATCACATGTATTTGGTTCACTCATAGTCACTGTGACCTTAAGTAACTCCCATTAATTTCAGGAGGGCCAAAAAGCAAAAGCCATTTGTTTCTGTCTGTCCTGGTACTTTATTGTAATTTAATCAAATAGACAATATCCACCATTCTGTGTCACAGGTTGGGGCCTTGGAGGTTTCTCTAATGGGTGGCAGGAAGAGATGGTTTAAAGGTAGGGGACATTTGGCAGGGCTGGGTAGCCTTTGGAAGTCCAAATGGCTGGGAAGAGGAGGCTCCAGCTCTTGGCAGAAGGCACCAGCAGAAAGGGTAAGGTTGCTACTGTTATCGTCAGGATGGTAGCATCACCATTGTCCACCTGGGTATTGGGGGCCATTAAGTGCATTGCTGGTTCCTCCACCCTTAGAAGTGCACACACACCCACAAACCCGTGAAGTACATTGCCCGTGTGCTGCTGACAGAACAGCATGTACCATACCTTCCTTCCTGGTCGGCCAAGCTCCCCCTGTGGATGGAGAAGACAGGTAAGCAGAGGTTGCTTTGCTTTGGAAGAGAAGTTCTGGAAGCAGAGGTCTTAGTGGGGCTAACGATTGTGCATGACTGCGTGGCTGGGTCTGCCTGGCTGCTCACTGCAGCCCTGCCATATCAGTGGGTCAAGTCAAAGCGCACAGGTGGAATCCCACCCACAGCAGCATCACAGTCATCATGGTGCCCATCCTCACACACTGAGGAAAAATTAGCACATGCTTTGAAATCTCAACCGGAAATCCCTCAGACCAGAAAATTCTCAGTGACACCCCCAGAAAACAGGCTGGAATGACCAAAGAGAGGTGGGGTGAAGAAAGTACTGGATCATACCTTTTCTCCCTTTGGTCCTGTCTTGCCAGGAAGCCCCGGTGGACCCTAAACAGTCAAGACAAGAAGTGAAGAAAGTATAGATCAAACCAGTGCAGGTGGTGAGGGTGGCAGGAACAGGGAGGGAGGCTCTTGGTGCACTGGGCTTTCGTTCTATGCAAGATGAAGACACAGGGCTCCAGGACCCCATGAAGAACCCTTTGGTGTCCTCTCACCCAGTCTCTTCCCCTCTGCACCTCCTCCTCTTCTGGTTTTCTCTGAGCTGTCATTCTACTGGTACCATGTTTGCAGTGCTCCTATGTCTACTCTTTGTGATTGTAATTTTATCACCAGAGCCCTTTGGTTGCCTAAAACACCCCAAGTACTTGGAAAGTAGCTAAAGAGGCTTGAAGAAATTCCGTTTGCTGAAAACAAGATGCTTCACCAATTCTCATATCTTTTCAGCTGCTCTTACTGAGCTTCCCTGGGGCCCCAACAAAAGGGAAGTTTCATACTCAGCAGCAGCACACTTAGAGATTTCCCTGGTTGATCTATGGGTTAAAAAACAGGTGCTCTCGAGTTGATTCTGACTTATGGCAACCCCATGTGTGTCTGAGTCGAACTGTGCTCCATAGGGTTCTCAATGGCTGACTTTGTGGAAGCAGACTGCCAGGCCTTTCTTCTGAGGCACTTCTGAGTAGACTCCAACCTCCAACCTTTTGAGTAGCAGCTGAGCATGTTAACCATTTGAACTACCCAGGGACTCTGATCTTTAGATTGTATGTTGTGGTTCGTTGCCTTTGAGTAGACTCTGACACATGGTGACCTTACATATAACCAGGTGCCAAATAGTTATCTTCTTCCCTCATTCAGCAGCAAAACTGTTCTTTTTGAAGATGTTAAGAATGTGGGTAAGTAGTGCATTTTCATTCCTCACCCAACCACAGGAGCGGGGCTGGCCCCAGTTTAAGGGACTTTAGAACCCAATGACCGAAACTTTTCACAACCAGAGCCAGAAACAGCTGCCTTCTGCTCATGCATCTGTGGAACGCTCAGTTGACTGCTTTCTAAATTCCCCAGAATAGCAGGGAGGAAATCCATCAAAATCCCCCCAGACCTTCCTTCATCCCCCAAAACTGCAGGTAAACACGCTTAAGGAAAAGCCTGTTGACGATTTCTACGAAACTTACCCAGATGACCAGCAGCCCCTCAGCCGGTGATTTCCAAACCCATCTGCACATCAGAATCCCTGGGGATCTTTAAAAACTGAAGCCCGGGCCACACCCAGACTGACTAAATCACTGTCTCTGGGGAAGGGGTGCAGGCATCAGTCATTTTGGACGTTTTTCCAGGGGATTTCAAAGTGCAGGTGAGTTTGAGAACCACTGTCTTTGGTTTAGTCTCTGTCTTGTGGAGGATGTAAAGGAGAGTTTTAGTTCCATTCTCTTCATTTTTCCAAGCCTCAGTTTTTTCCATTTTGTGAAATGTGACTAGAATGGTTTTACAAGATCATTGTGCCCTCGCTCAGTGCTTCTCAAACTTCACTGTGCAGACAATTCACTCTGAATCTTGTTAAAATGCAGATTCTGATTGAAGGGGGCAGCTGAGATTCTGCATTTCTAATAAGCTCCCAGAAGATGCCAAGGTGATTGGTCCTCGGATCTCACTCTGAGTAGGGACAACATTGGCACTGTGTTTTAAGAAAATGGAGTCCCCTGGAGTTGGTCCATGTGGCCACCATGTGGCTCAAACGGGATTGCACGAGATTCAAGATTAACAAGTGTGTCGGGAGAGCTGCTGGTCTTAGGTCAGCAGGGAAGCCCCCATTCTTTCTCCTGCTCTGTGGGTCCTCCCGTGCCCTGAGATCTGTCAGAGTGGACTGCTGATGGGGGAAGATAGAAATCCACCTTACAGGGGTGCTTCAGGATCTCATCTCACTGCAGTGCCTTTCTACAGAGCTCTGCCAGCCCCTCTGCGGCAGCCTCTGGCCAGCTCTGGGCTTACAGTTCTGTTTTCTTTATTGCATTCAACAAATATTTATGGAGCACTTACTACAACCCATGCACTGTTCTAGACTGGGAATGCAATAGTGAACAAGATGGACAACATCTCTGCTCCAGTAGGGCCAGGGCTTAGTGTTATGGATTGTGTCCCCCCTAAACATGTGTTGGAATCCTAATCTCTATACCCGTGGATATAATCTAATGTAACGTAATCACCTTCCATAATACAATCTAACATAATGTGATCAATCAGTGGAGTTCTTACCAGTGTAGGGTGGGTCCTAAACCTAATCACTCCTGAGTTATATAAAGAACAGCATAGACATAGACAGCTACTACCACATACTGGGGAAGACAGATGACATGTGAGGATTGCCAAAAAGCAAGGAATGCCTGGGTTATTGACTAGGAAGGAAATGACACCACCAAGGCCCTGATTGGGACTTTTATCCTCTAGAACTGTGAGAGAATAAACTTCTGTTCAGCACTAGAAAACTAAGGTGTTCTGTAAAGTTTTTTCTGCAAAGAGCCAGATAGTAAATATTTTAGTCTTTGCTGGCCACATGGTCTCTGTCACAACTACTCACCTCTGTCGTTGTAGCACACAAGCAGCTGTAGATAATCAAACTTTAATTACACAAACAGGCAGCTGGTCAGATGTGGCCCACAAGCTAGTTTGCCAACCCCTGCCATAGAGCCTACGTTTTACTAAGAGGACATCAAAGAGACCAGAAAGAAGCAAATAAGTATATAACAGGATGAGGAAATTATGCAGAGAATTAAAATGGGTGATTGTGATGGAAATTGATTGGGGGTATGGGGGGCTACTTTAGCCTGGGTGGTTGAGGAAGGCATTTCTAAGGAGGTGAGTTTTGAGTGACCGAAAGGAGCTGGCCGTGGTAATGGAAGAACACACCAAACAGCAGGAACCACAGTGCCGATGCCCTAGGGCTGGAATGAGCCTAAGTGTTTGAGGGCCTGAGGGAAAGTCACTGAGGCTGGGGTTCAGTGGGTGATGGCGATGTTCGCATGAGACAGCGTGGGAGATGCAGGCTGGGGTTGCCTTGTGTGCGACTTGGTAACCCAGGGTACGGAGTTTCAATCTTAGTCTTCAGTGATGGGAAGCCACAGGAGGGTTTTACGCAGGGGAATGGCATCATTTCTACGCGCCTTGCATGGGCAACCCACTTGGGGAACTTGCGTCCTTTCCTTGCACTCTCTTTCATGGGAAGGCCAGGCCCAGGGTCATTCCTCATTGGTGGAGCCCTCCCTGAGGCCTGAGGAGCCAAGGTCTGTGAGATGCAGTCTCTGGAGGGATTCTTTTGTTCCCCTAGAAAGTCCTTTCAATAGCATTGTACCTACTCCTCCTCCTTCCTTTGGCTTTGAATCAGGAGGGGTGGGCTGCTTGATAGTAGTGTCTGGCAGGCAAATGTAACCCAGGGTCACAAGCTCCTCTCTGCCTCTACTTTCCTGCACTGAATATAGCCACCTCTGGATCTACTGGTGGGGTCAAAGGTTGAATAAGGGGTGAACCAGATTGTATTCAAGTGTTTGATGACAACTATAATAATAACCACATCCGCATGGGTAGCACTTCATTTGATGTCCCCCCAAATCCAGTACCAAGCCACGAAACCCGTTGCTGTCAATTCCAACCCATAGTAACCCTATAGGACAGAGTAGAACTGCCCCATAGGGCTTCCAAGGAGTGGCTGGTGGATTCGAACTGCTGACCTTTTGGTTAGCAGCCGTAGCTCTTAATCACTGTGCTACCAGGGCTCCACCAAGTACAGAAGGACAATTATTATCCACATTGCACAGATGAGGAAATCAAGGCTGGAAGGCCAGAATTCACCCAGAAAAGAACCAATGTTCTACCCACATGGCCCTGGAGCTGGAGGTGGGCTAGAGAAAAAAAAAGTCCCCCCCCACCCATCATGTTAAAAAGGTTGAACAGTAGGAGGCTCTGCCCAGTGGTCTTCATTGCTTTGAACAGAAGACAGCAAGAGAGGGTCTAGTAGAGTGCACCAACCTGGAGGCCAGGAGGCCCAGGGGAGCCGAGCAATCCTTGCACACATGGGGACTGCGTGGTCTCCAGTTCAAGCATGAGGTTCTTCATGTCTGGGGAAAGAAGCTTCAATGCAAAGCAACACAGGTGTTATAGGTCAGACTTGGGGGACTGAAGAAAGTCACCACCCTGGACATAGATCTGCTCCAGGGTCCAGTCCTGAAGGCTGGTGGCTTCTTGATATCCCAGTAGGTGCCCCAAGAAGACAACCTTCTGGCCCACCAGTTTCTGGTCTCTTGTCTGCCCTTGAGACATTCCTGGCTTGAACAGATTACAGAGATACAATAGTCACTTTGGATGGAGTTAGGAGGCTCGTTTCAGAACCTCTGTCCAATATCTAGGACAGCACTGTCCAATAGTATTATACTGTGAACCGCTTATGTAGTCTTAAATTTTCTGGTAGCCACGTTAAAAAGGTAAGAAGAAACCAATGAAATTAATTTTTAGTAATATATTCTAGTTAACCCAGTATACCCAAAATATTTTCATTTCAACATGTAGTAAATATAAAAAAATTGTTAATGAGATATTTTACATTCTTTTTTCCATACTTAATCTTCAAAATCTAGGGTGTATTTTACACTTACAGCACATTTCAGCTCAAACTAGCTACATTTAAATTGTTCAATAGCCACATATGGTTAGTGGCTACTGTATTGGACAGTACAGTTCTAAGAGTTTCCAGAAAGGTCTGAGAATCCCACATTCCTGGAAAGCCCTGGCCTGTTATCTTCTAGGTCAGCTTTCTGCACCTGCTCTTTTCCTCACCTTTTCCCCTCTTCCCAAGTCCTGTTCCCTCTCAGACCTCAGTATGTCTACAGGAGTACTATTTCCGGTGTCCCTTCACTGAAATGGTCTCCATTAGACACAGGCTGTGGAAGGCAATTTCATAAATATTTTCGGAGAAGAAAAACAAAAGGGGGAATTCCATGTTTGAGCAGCTGGTGGGTGCCCACAAAGTTAGAAATTCACCTCATTGTTTTCGTAAAGCTGGGCCATGGTGCCAAATCCAATTCCCTGCTGAGAGGAATCCCCCTCCATAACTTATTTAAAACTGGGAGGATGGACACCCACCAGAAACTGCCCCAGTATCCATTCCAGGGTTCAGCTGGGGAATGAGATTACAGGGCTGGAGACAGCTAATCTTGAATAGTGGGGCGGGGGGCTGGGGGGCTGTGGGGCGGGCCCTGGGGACCTTGAATTTCTATTCTCTGACAGGTCTGAAACAACTCACCGGACTTCGGCCCCCTCTGAAGAACGGAGGTGGGAACAGCGGGGGCGGAGGCGGGGTCAGCAGGCAGCATGATCTGTGGTTGCTCCGCCTCCTCTGATCCAGGTCAGGAAGGGCTGCGCAGACAAAACTGCGGCTGTTAATGCGAGTCAGTGCTGGGTCCTCTGACCTGCCCACGGGGCCCAAAGGAAACTGACCCTGCCACCCCCCACTTCCAAATCTGATTTCAACCTTTGAGATGTGAAAGACCTACCATTTGATACTTGACATTGCCTTCTCCATCCCCAACCTTGCCTTTGCTGAATTAAGATAGTTAGGTGGCCCAAACGGTTTGCATTGGACCGCTAACCTAAAGGTTGGCAGTTTGAACCCAGCCAGTGGTACCACAGAAGAAAAAGTCTGGCCGTCTGCTTCCTGGAGATCTGCTTCTGTTACGAAAACCATGTGAAGGAGTTCTACTCTGTAACTTACTCTGTAAGTTCTACTCTGGAGTTGCCATGAGTCGGAATCCACTAGACGGTAACTAACAACAACACAGCAACAATCACTGAGCAGATAGTACTGACAGGGTGACCACTGCAGGGCCCATTTCTCCTTCTCCAGATATAGGCTTGTCATTTTGTAGGTGTGACGAGGAATGCAAAGTTCAAACAAACTCATAATATGCCCCCACTAGTTGGGCAGAAGGAATCATGCATTAATAACTTTGATATTGTACCCAGAAGGAAATCTTTCTGAGACAGAATCAATCACGGCTACAGGCAGCATTGATTACAAGTGACCCACAGCCATGATTTAAAACACATATATTGACTCCAGATTCCGCACACACATTCAAGTGTCACCCACGCTCAGCAGAGAGTTACTATTTAATGTCTCAGTGCATGGGTGGCCCAATCCCAAGTGTGAGGAATGAAGGAAGGGGCCTGGGCCCTTACAACTTCATTTTTACATGGAGTCTCCCCTATGTTCAATGATAGTATATGTTCCATGTTGAAATATGCCTCTTAAAAGTACACAGATCATAAGTATACAGCCCAACAAACTGCTAAAAAGTGAATATATCTGAGAAGTCCGCACCCAGATCAAGAACCAGAACTCACCAGCTCCCAGAGGTCCCCTTAAACTCCTCTCCAATCTCTACACTCCCCGCCTCCACAATGCTGACTTCTACCACCATGGACTCCTTTTGCCTGTTTTTAAACTTTATATAGGTAGAATCATATAATATGAACTCTTCTGTGTTCAGCTTCTTTCATTCAGCATAGTGCTTGTGGGAGTTATCGAGGTGGATGATTATAGCTGTAGTTCATTCATTATTATTGCTGAATAATGTTTCATTGTGTGAATATACCACAATCTGTTTATCCATTCTGCTGCTGATGGACATTTGGGTTGATACCAATATACACCCACCAGAATGGTTAAACTGAAAAAGGTGGAAAATGACAAATATGGCAAGGATGTGGAACAAACAGAACTATCGTGAATTAACTGGTGGGGGTATAAATTGATACAACTGTTTGGCTTTTTTTTTTTTCACTAAAGCTGAACATAGGCGTATACTATAGCCTAGCCATTCCACTCCTAGGCATTTACCAACAGGAAGGTGGGTGTATATTCTCCAAAACATATGTACTAGAATATTCATGGCAGCAATATCCACAATTACCAAAAGCTGTATGTTTTCAATTCCCATTCTGGTCTCATATCAACAGCCTCACTTCCACCCCTTCACTGAACCTCCAACCTCACAGAACACGTGCAGGTCGCCCACCACGTGCGTCCAAGCCTTGAACCCAGTTTTCAGTCTTATCACCAGAGGCCAGTGCCCACCTACAATTTTCCACCCTGTCTTCCAGGACCTGCCTTCAGACATTAGGCAAGTGATGAGTCTTCCCAGAAACTGCTTGAGTCAGCTCCAAACCAAAAGACCAAACCCACTGCCGTGGAGTCGATTCTGAATCATAGCACCCCCATAGGGTTTCCAAGGCAGTAAATCTCTGCTGAAGCAGACTGCCACCTCTTTGTTCCACGAAGCCACTGGTGGTTTCAACCGCTGCCCGTTTGGTTAGCAGGCGATCAATCACTTTAACCACAGCTCCAGCCGCTGCAGTGGTCTCTCCGGTGCACGCTTACCCTCACTGCCTAATACAGGAGCATCCATTGACCTGTGGCCATAGTTAGCCCTCTCAGACTCATTTCATGAGAAATATTTTTTTAAAGATAGCTTTATTATCCTAAAACAAAATTCATAACTGATCCAACTTACCTATAAAAAAACATAAAAACGAGACCCATTGCCTTCAAGTCAGTTCCAACTCATAGTGAACCTACAGCTATACACAACTTTAAAAATCAGTATAGTGCTTGTCTTAGTTCATCTAGTGCTGTTATAATAGAAATACCACAGGTGGATGGCTTCAACAAACAGAAGTTTATTCTCTCACAGTCTAGTAGGCTAGAAGTCCAAATTCAGCGTGTCAGCTCCAGGGGAAGGCTTTCTCTCTCTGTGGGCTCTGGAGGAAGATCCTTGTTATCACTCTTCCTCTGGACTAGGAACTTTTTTTGGTGGTATGAGGTCCCCATGTCTCTCTGCTCGCTTCTCTCTTTTATGTCTCAGAAGAGATTGGCTTAAGACACAATCCAATCTTGTAGATAGAGTCTCATCAACATAAGTGCCACTAATCCCATCTCATTAACATCGTAGAGTTAGGATTTACAACACATACGAAAATCACAGCAGATGACAAAATGGTGGACAGTCACACAATACTGAGAATCATGGCCTAGCCAAGTTGACAGATATTTCTGGGGGACACAATTTGATCCATAACAGAGGTCTAACTGTAATATGGAGCCCTGGTGACACAGGGGTTATGAGCACGGCTGCTAGCCAAAAGGTCAGCGGTTTGAATCCACCAGCTGCTCCTTGGAAAAACCGACGGGGCACTTCCGCTCTGAACTATAGGGTTGCTATGAGTCGGAATCAACTTGACAGCAACTGGTTTTGGTACAGGAACTGTAATATAAGTGATTTATGATGTAATAATGCATATTTTGGTGATAATCAGGCACAACCACGTCAGAAAGCATAATGACATAGTTAGATGCTTACACATATATGTGAAATCACAGTGAATGCAATAGCTAGGAATACAAGTTATGGTATCAACAACTCAAATACTACAAGTGATGTTGCCACTAGTGATGTGACTTTCTGAAATAATGAGCAACACTTGGTAAAATTCCCAACCAAACAAAATAAAATTATTACTCAGTAGTTGTAGTCTCAGAAAATTCAGTTTATGTCGTTGTTGTTGGGTGCTGTCAAGTCAGTTCCGACTCATAGTGACCCCATGTAGAACAGAATGAAACACTGCTTGGTCCTGCACCATCCTCACAATCGTTGCTATGTTTGAGCCCACTGTTGCAGCCACTGTGTCAGTCCATCTCGTTGAGGGTCTTCCTCTTTTTCTCTGACCCTCTACTTTACCAAGCATGATGCTCTTCTCGAGGGACTCGTCCCTCCTGATAACATGTTCAAAGTACGTGAGATGAAGTCTCACCATCCTTGCTTTTAAGGAGCATTCTGGCTGCACTTCTTCCAAGATAGATTTGTTCATTCTTCCAGTGTTCATAGTTATTCAATATTCTTCGCCGACACCATAATTCAAATGAATGAATTCTTTGGTCTTCCTTATTCATTGTCCAGCTTTCGCAAGCATATAAGGTGATTGAAAATATCATGGCTTGGGTCAGGCACACCTTAGCCCTCAAGGTGACATCTTTGCTTTTTAAGACTTTAAAGAGGTCTTTCGTAGCAGATTTGCCCAATGCAATCCATCGTTTGATTTCTTGACGACTGCTTCCGTGGGTGTTAATTGTGGATCCAAGTAAAATGAAATCCTTGACAACTTCAATATTTTCTCCATTTATCTTGATGTTGCTTATTCGTCCAGTTGTGAGGATTTTTGTTTTCTTTATGTTGAGGTGTAATCCATACTGAAGGCTCTAGTCTTTGCTCTTCATCAGTAAGTGCTTCAAGTCCTCTTCACTTTCAGCGAGCAAGGTTTCATCATCTGCATATTGCAGTTTGTTAATGAATCTTCCTCCAATCCTGATGCTTCGTTTTTCTTCACGTAGTCCAGCTTCTCGTATTAGTTGCTCAGCATACAGATTGAATAAGTATGGTGAAAGGATACAACCCTGATGCACACCTTTCCTGACTTTAAACCACATAGTAACCCCTTGTCCTGTTCGAACGTCTGCCTCTTGATCTATAATACAGTTTCCTCATGAGCACAGTTAACTGTTCTGGAATTCCCATTCTTTAGAATGTTATCCATAATTTGTTATGATCCACATAGTTGAATGCCTTTCCATAGTCAATAAAACACAGGTAAACATCTTTCTGGTATTCTTTGCTCTCAGCCAAGATCCATCTGACATCAGCTACGATATCCCTTGTTCCATCCCGTCTTCTGAATCCAGCTTGAATTTCTGGCATTTCCCTGGCCATCTACTGCTGCAACCATTTTTAAATTATCTTCAGCATAATTTTACTTGCATGTGATATTAATGATATTGTTTGATAGTTTCCGCACTCTGTTGGATCACTTTTCTTTGGAATAAGCACATATATGGATCTCTTTCAGTTGGTTGGCCAAATAGCTGTCTTCCAAATTTCTTGGTATAGACAAGTGAGCATTTCCAGCACTGCATCCATTTGTTGAAACATCTCAGTTGGTATTCTGTCAATTCCTGGACCCTTGTTTTTGCCAGTGTCTTCAGTGCAACTTGGATTTCTTCCTTTAGTATCATCTGCTCTTGATCATAGGCTACTTCCTGAAATGGTTGAATATTGACCAATTTGGTACAGTGACTCTGTGTATTCCTTCCATCTTCTTTTGATGCTTCCTTCATCATTCAATTTTTTGCCCATAGAATCCTTTAATACTGTAACTGTTTATATTAATTAAAACAGTGCAAAAAATAACTGTAAAACAGAATTAGGTTCTAAGATGAGCTCATTATATACAGGTATGAACATTCCATGAGACATTTCAAAATCATGTAGAACATGGAACAATTGTTGATGTGTGATTCTGTCCCA